AAAAAAAAAAAAAAGGAAAAAAAAAATATATATATATATATGAGATGGAGCTGTCACTATCGTCTCACCGCATCTCTGAGTTTTTTATTTGTCGACACCTCGGCTAAGTTGTTGTTGACGAGAACCATCAAAGAAAAAAATCTTGCTTTGAAAAAGAGGAAAAGAAAAAACGCGTGGCTGTTCACGTAAGATGTGAAAGGTGAAGGCTCTTGGTTTTATGAGCTCACGCAAGCACGCTAAAGTCCACAAACGTGAATTGATTGGTGTCATTTTGCGCATGCGATGGGTAAAATAATGAATAATCGTCAGCGTGTTCCATTAAAGGCTTACTACATCAGTTACTTTAAAAGCCTCTGGGCATTTAAACTCAGCGAGTTTGAGTACTGTCGGCAGCAATAATTGAGTTTTTGAAAACTCTCAAGCCTGGAAAAACCCCAACCCCCTGTAGGTTCACTGGTCCTAAATGTTAATGGTCGGATTAATAGCGAAATTCCAGCAGACTCTCAACAAAATCAAACAACAACCTTAAAGTAAAAGAACGTCAGTCTATTTGACGCTAGAAAAGTTTGTGAACCTTAAAATAGATGGTCAGTACTGAAGCTGTAAATTTGTAAGGCCTTTATAGAGATTACATTTATTAAACTGGTGTTGAAAGTCAAAAAACATAATCTGAAAAATTCTTAGGTGTTAATTTATTATGATAAAATAGATATATGATTCATATATAACATAAGTAACCATGACTTGTCGAGCCATTGCCTCACAATTTAATCTACATTTTTCAGCACTGTTTCATAACACTTGGAGGGAAAAAAAATGTAAATAAAATGCACAAACCACTCACTCATCTGAGTCCTTTTTGCTCTCCTCAATGTAGGCGATGGACTCCGAGCGAATCCGATTGGTCACCTCGTAGGTGCGCAGGGTGACCCCGAAGATGTCCTCATGGTAACGGTGCTCATCCTGTTGACGGGGTCAGGAGAGAGAAGGGGGGAAAAACAAGGTTGAGAAATGCACACGGCAAAGAATTAACTGCTTTTTACGGCACATTTAACTCATTGGCTGCCAAAGACGTCTATAGACGTCTTTTATGTTTTTCAACGAGAGTGTCTGGGGGACGATCGGCTAAAGTTTGTCCGTAAATATCGGCTTCTAGACAGAGTATGTAGTAACAAATTGACCCTCTAGGTGGCAGTGCCACTTTTGATGGGAGATGAGCATAGATTGTAGGCAAATAAAAAAAAAACGCAATGGTTCGCTATGCGAAAAATGGCGCCGGTGAGACGCACGTCGAGGAAGAACGGAATAAGGTAGAAACACATTTTTTTTCCTGATGAAAGAAGAGAGTCTACTCTTTCTTTTGGTGTGTTCGGTGTTTACATAGTCATAGCACAAACTATTCTGTGGCTCTTGAAAAATCAGTCAAAATGCTCAAAAAACTCAAGCAGTATGGGACTCTCTGTTCTGAAAATGGCTGCCAGTCAATGAGTTAAGACTTGAACCATCCTTTTTTTTTTTCGCGTACCCGTAGTTTGCTGATGTAAAAGCCGGCGTCCTCCAGACTCATGTGGCCCTGCTGCTTGATGATCTGCTGGATGGTTTTCAGGACGTCCCCGGCCATGGTGACGTCCCCGCACACGTAGATGTGGCCGCCTTCCTTCCTCAGGCACTGGTACACCGTCTCCGCCAGGTGCTCCCGCAGCACATCCTGCACGTATTTCTGACAGAGGCAGTGGGAAACAGGTCAGCGTTCACCCAGAGGTCAATATCAGAAAAAATACTGCCTAAAACACTGTCAAATGGTAGTCAGGCGACTAATTATACACATGGATTTAAGCCATATTTTCCTAATTCAAGGGAAAAATTAGTCAAAAACCATGATCTGATCAATTCTTAAGTGTTATTTCAATATAATAAAATGATATATTGATTATATTATGATTTTATATATATATATATATGATTAATGTTTAATTTAAGTAACCATGACTTGGTCATATTTTCCTATTTCAAGGGCAAAAGGAGTCAAAAACCATAATCTGATAAATTCTTAGGTGTTATTTTAATATAATAAAATGATATATTGATTATATTATAATTATATATTTATGATTAATGTTTAATTTAAGTAACCATGACTTGGTTATAAGAATATACAAATAAGTAAAGAGAACAAAGAAGCAAAGACATAAGAAACTCTTACCATACTGCAACTCAATGAATGTACAGTTAAAATTTATTAGTTAGAGTGGATATATCTACTGATTTAACCATAGCAGTTTTCATAAAGATCTTATATTATGAATCTATTTGGAATTCCAGAAATAATCCAGAGAGATGGTAGGACAATCTTAAAATTCTGCATGTATGGACACTAGAGGATGTACCTTTGGTTTGCCGGGTTCTCTGGAATAAGCCGCATAGAGGTCCTTGAACACGCCTTTGTTCTTAGCCTGGATGGTCTCCTCTTTGTAAATGTGGTCCATCTCAGACTGCCGACAACCGAACACCAGGATCATGGGGCAGGACTTCATCCCTGGAACGGGACGAGAACATTTTACTTTGATGCTCGGAGTGGAGCTGTAGTCGTTACAGTCTACAGCTCAGTGCATTATCAGGGATTTGGTTTTATTCCATTAAGGAAATATAAAGCACCACATTTATCAGCTTATCCAGGTTAGCTTTTCAATGAGACATTAAAACTGAAGATTCTAACTTCTGATTATTGAAGTAAAGTAAAGATATCAAACCGTTGTGTTCGAGGTCATATAGTCTCTGTTGCCAGAAGCTTCTGAACGGGGCGATTCCCGTTCCTGGACCCACCAGGATACACGGCGCTTGGTTGTCTTTGGGAAGTTGGAATGATGGTGCACTAAAAAAAAACAACAAAACATACAAGTTTCATCCTCTCAAAACGGTTCGCGAAGCCTACGAAATAAACGAAAGAATTTCTTTGACGGCTTTTGTTGGGAGGCCTGAGGAGCATTTTCCTAGTTTTCCCATTTGTGGTGTACAGCATGATCACATGATCACACAGTGAGAGGAACACATCTGTAGAGCTGACTCTGTTGCCCTTAGATACGGTATCTTTTGCTCCGTGTTTGGAAAATGAAGCCCCCTGCAACAAACTATATTGCTTAGCTTTGCATAAAATCCTACAAGTAGCTACTCTTGCTCTGTAATGAAAACCACCTACCGGCAGCTCTTGAACCGGTGGAACCTTGGCTTCAGGTTCCATTCCTGCACTGTGTTTGCTAAATCATTTGAATTCTGAAATGCGTCCCCCTACCCTGGAAGGGTCGATGCTTTTTCTTTGTTCACTCTGCTTTTACTGAAATGCGGAGAATTGCTCGGCTGTGTTCTAACGAGGACTCTCGCACCGATGTCTCTCCGAGTCTAAATAACACTTAAAGAGTATAATCTCACTCTCAGCTGGAGATGGTCTTTGTCAGGCGTTTCGCCGATTGTTTCAGGCCATCGCAAAGCTGCTTTTCGGGGGGAAATCGGATGCAGAGTTTCTAGTTCAAAGTGCAAACCTTATCTACTTAATGTAAACTAATAAACTGCCAGCCTTCAAACTGTTACAGGGTACTGATTGGAGGATCCGTCAAGCAGGGTGTGTTCATTTTAAATCGAGCAGATCAATCGGAAACTTGACTTGACTCTCAGACTATCATTAGTGGACTTTGCAAACATTAATCACACACTATTTGCATGCAAATGACAAAGAATACACATACTGACATAATAAATGGGCAAAGAAAAGTGTAAAAGTGGATGCATATTGGAAGGTAATTGGCAATATGGAATTAGATTTAACACTCAAAAATGAGTGGGGCTGATCTTCTCATCCAGTTTTGCCATCAAAACCAGTGAGCCCCTTTTTTTTCCAGAAATGTCAAGCATTTCCTTTGTCGGCGCGATCGTTTTTCGATCATTACCTTCGGACAAAACACGACACCCTCTCTCCCTTCTCTATCCTGTTCAGCCACGACGAGCACACTCCGTGGTGGACGGGTCCCTCTCCATCTGAAAAGGGATGATTACCCAGCAGTCACTACACCGGCTTTTTAGTCTCTCCTGCTTCCTGCTCTTTTAAAGCGCACAAACAAACCGGAGAGGAGGAGCGGCCCCGTGTCACCTGTAAGGTCAGTGCCAGATCTCTACTCATCCCCCTCTCAGGGGAGACGACTAGAACTCAAACACTGCCTCTTTAATCATTGTAGTATGTTCGCATAGGCACTATGGAACCCCCTCCCCCTAAACAAAACAGTACAGAAATAGCAGCATTTACAATAGTGTTTGCCGTGTACTTGAGATGATTGGTGCTACCGTACACAGAAAGCAACACTAAACGTTTACAGTTAGACGTAGGGTTTAAGCTGCTATGTTTGGTTTCGGTTGTGTTGGCTTTCATGCATTTGAATAAAATCTGTCTCGAGATACTTCTGGAAGGTGGCCTAAATCAACGCATCTGCAATCTGAGCGATCTGGAAAGCAGACTGTCCTTCGAAGACCAAAAGTCTGATCGCTTTTCAGGAAATTTGGTGTTGTTAAGACAGCCCTGTAGAGCAAAAGCTTCAGAACAGTCCAATTAATCCGAATCCCGACCTGAGGCTAGTAATGAAAAATTTAGGTAAAGCTTTACATTACGGCACGGTGATAATATGGTAATAGCATAGTAATACTGTGTAACAAATAGTTAATAACCAGGTAATTGTGTGTAATTACAATAGAATTTCTATGAAACTAGCATTGTAATACTTTGATAAGAACAATAACAAAGAAATAATTACAAAGTAATTTATATGAAATTACTATTGTAATATGGTAATTTCATGGTAAGTCCTTAGTATTTACTCACAAATAATCTACTATTTCATAATCCTGTCGATATCATCATATAATACATTAGTAATTTCATATAAATTACTTTGTAATTATTTCTTTATTATTGTTCTTATCAAAGTATTACAATGGTAATTTCATAGAAATTCTATAGTAATTACACACAATTACCTGGTTATTAACACTTTGTTACACACTATTACTATGAAATTAGCATATTATTATCGTGCCGTAATGTAAAGCTTGACCAAAATATAAAATACACATTTAACCAGATTATGTCCTCCGGTAAAATAAAGCTTTGCGTAAGTCCGTGAGCCCTCACCTCTGGTACGGTAGGAGACCACGGCCACGGTGAGGTGGATCTCCCCGGGGTACAGGTCTGGGGAGGAGCTGATGGAGTAGTAGCGGGGCTGTAGGAGGGGCAGCTGGGTGAGCAGCAGGGTGGAGGGCATCTGGATGGAGGGGAACTGCTCCAGAACCTCCACTAACGTGGGATTGTTGTACCACTTCCACTCCTCGTACTCTTGCAAGCCCTGGGAGGTAGGGATGAAAACCAAAGTGGGGACAAAGTCTAAAGGACCATTTTTCTTTTTTTTTAACGATTTTTTGGGTCATTTATGAACATGTAAACTCCAAATCCACAGGCAGAGACAAACCAAGTGTAGTTTCCTCTTTTAGATCCGTAAACATATCTGACTCAAGAGCAGGAGGCGGCCACAAGCAGAGCCATTCACCGTTCAATGGCCAAATGCACCCGTCATAACTGACATTTAGATTAATTTAGAACGCTTTCACCAGGCAGACAAAGAAAGAAACTTAACTTTTCCTCTTTTCTTACGTTATTAACTCATTGGCTGCCAAAGACGTCTATAGACGAATTTTATGTTTTTCAACGCGAGGGGGGACGATCTGCTAAAGCTTGCCCGTAAATATCGGCTTCTAGACAGAGTATGTAGTATCAAATTGACCCTCTAGGTGGCAGTGCCACTTTTGATGGGAGATGAGCATAGACTGTAGGCAAATAAGAAAAAGGTAATGGTTCACTATGAGAGAACATGTCGCCGGTGAGACGCAAGTCCAGGAAGAACGGAATAAGGTAGAAACAAACATTTTTTCCTGATGATAGAAGAGAGTCTACTCTTTCTTTTGGTGTGTTCGGTGTTTACATAGTCATAGCACAAACTGTTCTGTGGCTCTTGAAAAATAAGTCAAAATGCTCAAAAAACTCTGGCAGTATGGGACTCTGTTCTGAAAATGGCTGGCAGTCAATGAGCTAATGAACAAAAAGGGCCAAATGAGAAACATGCGAAGATGAATAGTACCTCAAAGCAAGAAAATGACTTGCATCCTCTGATGCTTTTGTATTGTCTTGCAAAACATTATACAAAGTCAAGAGGGCAGATTAAGGCTGCGTTGATGATCGGATGAGCCCAGGTGCTGATTGTACTGCACTGTTTCTTTATCCAAATTCAGAAGATCTTTCTCTCTAGCATTGGTGACAGCGATTCTATGCGTGAGTCACCACTTGGCCTCATCCAGCCTTTTCCACACATTGACATAAATGGAGAGTGAATGGTGGGAGGCACTTCAAGGGGGGAACGGTTCTGGGTTAGAGCAATCAGCGACTTTAATTTGGCGCCAGCTAACTCCTACTTGATGCATTTCCATCGGCGCAAAGTGCATCAAACCCGCTTGTGGACGAGCAAAACCGTCCCTTGTGTTGTGGTTGTAGATACGATGAATGTGTTCTTTGCTATGGCTTGAATACACGGTGGGTTTTTCAAATAGGGGCCTTGAAAACTACAAACCGCATTGCTGGAAACAGCCAATGGAAGTACATCACGAGCCTTTCATGAATGCGAACGCAGACCATGTGAAGCACAGAAGCAGCTCAAAAAAGGTCAATGTTACCGGAGAGGCGGAATAAGTGAATTTACCTTGCTGAGGACCTCTAGTTTCTTTTTCTCTTTATCGTTGGTTGCCAGAGCAGCAAACTGCTGCAGCAGCACGGGGGTTGGGGGCGTGGTGATGTCCAGGAAATACTGGAAAGCTTGGTAAATGGTGCACGGGGGGATCCGCGTCTCATTTGTCCAATTACTGATAACACCTGCACCGAGCAACAAAGGTAAAGCCGGTTAATTCTCATAAGGGATCAACTGTATTGTAAATATTGCACATAACAATTGATAACTTTATATTTATCATATCACACAATTTTCCACACCTAAAGTTTACGTCTATGTCTGCATGGGAAAGCAAGAAACGCAATTTCAATTCTTTGTATGACCAACGCATGTAAAGAAATTGACAATAAAGCCTACTTGACTTGAAAAAACTGTCGATTTAATTACCACATGTAATATCAAAGGGGGTAATTACTACCACTAAAATTCATTTGCCAAGTTTTTGTATCTCCTGGCTATTTTTGTGTGTGTGTATGTGTTGAAAAAGCACGATAAAATAGTTTCCTTTTCAGTAATTATTTGTTTCTTTATTTGTATGGTGATCCTGGTGAATGCCTGTTATGAATGGACCTTTTTTTTTTCCCAAGGTAAAAATTTGTCCAAGCGCACGTACTGTGTTTGAATAAAACGTGTCGCTTCACAAGCACTGTGAATATCACAGTTACATCGTTCGGGTGTCAACCACAACTGCCAAAATGCAGCCACGCTGAAGAAAAAAATAAATAAAAAAATCCGGGTGTAGATCTCTCGATTTATCCTGCCTTTGCTGACGAACGAGAGCCTTTTTCATTTTGACGCTTTGCCCAGATTTCTATCCGAAACCCTTCCTTATTACGCGCCTACGGGATTTCGCACAAGTGACACGGTGTTGATAATAACATCACCCACCCAGGGCGGTGTTCCTCTCCTCCAGGAACTCCACTTTGACGATCTGATTGACGGGCGGAGCGTCCTCCAGTTTGTCTATGAGAGCCGTTACCAGGTCCTCGTGGTTGCCAGGGTAGATGCCCAGATGGTCGCCGGGCTTGTAGCGCAGGCTGTCGTGGCTGTTTGTGTCGAGCCGAACAGATATGGTGGAGCGACTTTAAAAAAAGAGAGAAAAATAAGAGAGAGAGAGGCACTATTTTCAATCTGTTCCATTCAGAGCTCTCACCAGCATAATCCCAGTGAATAAAGAATGCGTTGGCCTATTGGAGGTGATTTTTGTATCATTTTCGAATGTGTTTTGTGCGTTTAAATACATACTTGGATTTTGGACTTTGCAAGTTCTGAGCCTCGATCATCTTCGCTCCATAAACTTTCTTCTTGTGAATACCGTATAATGCTATAAGACAGACGGAAATACAATTACATGCTAATGCATCAGTTCAGAAATAAATTAAAAGAAGAAAACACAAAAGGCAATTAAAACTAATTTACAAACTGATTTATCTGAAAACTATAGTTCTTTGGTTTCCCTCTGATTTCGTGCAAAGACAATTATGAATGATATATGGAAAGAATTCATTTCCAAGAGAATGCTCCGTACAGCACATTTAATTGGCGCGTGGGCGTTTTGCAAATTGTGCTCCATAGATTGTAACCTTTTTAGATCATATTAACCAAAACAAACACGCCAAAGATGTTTGTTTTTCCGCATTTTTTATGATGACCACCATTTATTCTGATGATACTCATTAACATAAACTGAGCTTTATCAGTGACTCTTTATGTTTTGTGCAAATTGTGTACATTTCCTCGCAGCGGCTTCTTTCCACCTCACACACAGATGTGCAAATAGAATAATCCTACCAAGAAACACTAATAAAAGTGAACGAAAATGAGTAACCGGTGAGGATAAACTAAATGTAACAGTGTATATTATTTAAGTTAACTGCGACATCGGCATAACTGGAGATGACAGAAAACAATGTTTTATGCTAATCTATTAAAGATATCCTTTCCAAATTGTTAAAAACGTACCTTAGTTATTGCCTACACAAAGGGGTTTGGGTTAGTATTAGCCAAATATTACCAATAACCATTGAAGACACAAAAATGCTGCTATCCAAGTGTCTGTATCTATCCACAGAAAGCAAATGAGCTGCATTATCACAGACCAAATCTGATATATTTCCCGGCTCTTGTCTTCATGGCTAAATGCATTGGATCTGTATTATAATGACTCCCTCCACGGTGGAGTGCAGAGCACCGCTTCAGGTGTTGTTATGGCCGAGGCGCTGACAAATCACCGTTATTTTCTGCTCTGCTACTTATCAGCACTTATTGCCTCCTCAATATCGAGACAACCATCAGCGTTACTCGTCCGGGTTTCCGGCGAGGGGGGGGGGATGACTCGCCTTCTGTCAGGGCCGGGGCCTCGGCCGTGTACGTCAGGCGGAACTTGCTCTTCTTCCAGCTGCGGTCGTTGCTGATTAAGGAGTCGTTGGCCTTCTCGATGTTCACGTCGTCGCCGACACAGAACACGTCGCAGGCGGCCTTGAAACGCAACGAAACAGCCGGGGGGAAAAGAGAACGTCCATTATAGGAAAAAAAACGGACTACTTCATCCACTATCTCAAGGTTTAGTTTGACCAAAACAACCATTAAGTGCCACCTTGATTGTTCTCTGCCCCATATTGGCTTATATTAGCATTGACACACAGCCTTGACAAGAAACTAAACCTGTATACATTTCCAGGTAAAGGTTGCAAAAGTGTTTTCAGACACGGACGACAAGCCCCAAAAGGTCTCCATGTAAGAAACTAACCTTAAAAACTTTCTTGGCCCATGTTCTGAACGTCCATCATAGGAAAAAAACGGACTACTTCATCCACTTTCTCAAGGTTTAGTTTGATCAAAACAACCATTAAGTGCCACCTTGATTGTTCTCTGCCTCATGGTGGTTTGGTATTGGTTATTATTAGCATTGACACACAGCCTTGACAAGCAACTAAACCTACAGGACTGTTTCAGAAAATTTGAATATGGTGATAAAGTTCTTTATTTCCTGTAATGCAATTACAAATCATGAAGTGTCATACATTCTGGATTCATTACAAATCAACTGAAATATCGCAATCCTTTTATTGTTTTGATATAGCTGATTATGGCTTACAGCTTAAGAAAACTCAAAAATCAGATATTCTAATATTTTGAGATAGGATATTTGGGTTTTTTTAAGCTGTAAGCCATAATCAGCGATATTAAAACAATAAAAGGCTTGCGATATTTCAGTTGATTTGTAATGAATCCAGAATGTATGACATTTCATGTTTTTTTAATTGCATTACAGAAAATAAAGAACTTTATCACAATATTCTAATTTTCTGAGACAGTCCTGTATACATTTCGAGGTAAAGGTTGCAGAAGTGTTTTCAGACGAGGACGACAAGCCCCCAAAGGGTCTCCGTGCAAGAAACTAACCTTAAAAACTTTCTTGGCCCATGTTCTGAACGACTCCTCTTGGCCACAGAGCTCGTCTCCCTCTCCCATGCGTAGGATGCGCTCACCCCCCAGCTCTTCAAACAGCGTGTCCACCGCGTGGGCAAAGGCGCAGAAGTGTGGGTAGGCCCTGGAGCCAAGGCCAAATACCGAGAACCTGAACAAAAGAAGCGTACATAAGGAGAGCTCGCAGAGTGGAGAAATGGGATCTGTTCGAAAGATAAAAAAGCACAAATCCACACCGCTAGAAAAGCATCTCATCTGAGCCGATGTCTGAAACTTGGATATTGATCTCAATCCATCATCTCAAAATTGAGCAAGGGCTGGAAAACAACTAATACATTTGTATATATTCATCCTGACTGGGTTTCAGTGGCTGTAGACATGATATCACTTACTTTTTCCAGAGGCAGCCGAATGGGAAGAAGTCAGCCTACATCATAGTCAAATTTAAGCAAAATGTCTGTTTTTTTCACCCTGTCTACTTCTGTCTACTACAACGGAAAAAAAAAAAAAAAAAAAAATATGCTGACATTAATTTTTCACCACCTAAAGGATGGTTCATAATCCTCTAACATCTTTAAAAAGTACAGACATGTTGATCACCCATCTATAAGTAGATCCATCATAAATCCAGAAACTGGACTCCTGTTACATCTCTGTACATATGCGTTATGATTCAAAGTGTTTGATTGCTTGCAAAAGGCTCTTTGGTCAACTTTAAAGCCTCAAATCCCAAATCACATAAGGCCCTCTATTAGTAGAGATTGTATAATTACCCCTTAATTACTCTAAAAACGAAATAATTAGCAACCTAATTTTGGTGAAAATGTCCAATATTTAGAATTGGTCCTAACTTATATCAACAATAGAAGTTTATGCTGGACATGTTGCATTTCCCCAAGGATTCCAGGAAAATTCAAGAGCTGTAAAATCTCCACTCTCAAAGGTGACAAAGTTTTTGGAGAAAAAAAAAAGCCAGACACTGATGGACAATTTTAAAATCCGAGCAAAAACATGTGAAGACTCCAGGCAGGATTTATTATAAATGACGAAATACCTTGACAGAGAGCTCAGATGATGGGATTTGATCAGGGTTTCATGCAAGACATAATCAGATAATCTTAAATTTGGACTCTAGGCTGATGGATCAGACAAAGAGTGCAAAACAGTTACATGAATGAGAAGAGTTATATGAAATTAGAAAAAAATCATTTAAAAGAAGAAGTGGCATTGAATAGTAATAGCCCAAAAGAAGATGTCCACCCCCCTAAGAGGAACTGTTAAACAATTATGAAGTACACATAATATTTACTGAACCTGTGCTCCAAGTTTTATTACAAATGAGGACTAGGCACTTGTAAAAATACAGTTATGTGTTACATCATAAAAGGAATTTAGACTTTGGTGGTTAGAAGCAGGAGACTCTGATAAAGATAGGAGATTGACAACCACCAAAAGTTTTTAAAATATAGATAAACTAAACAATCTTACTGCATTGGGGAGGATCTCACTCGTCTGGAAATAAGACACAAATGTTATGTTAAACCTTTTCAATTTGAACCTAAATAAGAAGAAACTGAAACCAAAAGGTGGTCCAATCTTTGGCTGAAAGTAAACGGTATATTGTAACAAAGTGGATTGAAACAAATAGCCCCAACAAATGATTAAATCAACTATTGGCGAGGCCATACGGCTCGAGAGATCTCATAGGCCGGGCCACATAGTTGCAGGAAAGCTGTGAAAACAGAGGAATTTTTATCGAACAGTCCATTTAAGAGCACAAATGCCAGTCCGGGACTATTATCTCTAATGGGAGAAGTGCCCCGCTGACAAATAAAAGAATCATTCTGATCGATCTGACACCTGCGAGCGAAACCTTCTGAAAATCTGATGTGAAATTTTTACGGCTCAAATCTGTGGCCTGAGAGATGAGAGCGCAATTTAAAATTACAATGAGTCTCCGAGCGACTCGATAGAAGTGGAGGTGGCAGCTGGTGCTCCGGACCAAAGTGTGAAAGTGAGACAATAATGAGCAAAACGCTGAGGGACGACAATGGGGGCTACCGCACGCTGAAAAGACACCTCGAGGAAAAAAGAGAATCTTGGACAGATGAGCGCTTTGTTAGCTGAGCAATTTAGGCCGGGGTGGGTTCCCAAACAGTTTTGTCTTTGTTGTCCACTCTCGACCTGGACGTTGAACCACAGCTGTGGGGGATTAGAGAAATGCCCCATTGGGAGCAAGAAGATGGCCAATTTCTTCTGTAGAATTGAGAAACGGTTTTTGTTGGAATACTCCAAAAGAGATGATGACAAGAAACATTGGGATGCATCATGATGCACAGAGCTCCTTTCTCTCTCTCCCTCCCGGTGCAACCTCATTCCATTAACGATGTTACTAACTGGATTCCCTCCCTTCCCCGTAGTCGTGTGCTTTCTCGTCCCCCTTCTCTCTCCTCTCTCCTCCTATCACTTTCTGCAGGTGTTCCTGGTTCTGGATCTGTGGTTGGGAGTTTCCTGCTGCCCCCGTGTTCCTGCTCTGCTACTACTCTGCATAGTGTTATTACTATCATAACTTCTACTATTATCATTAGTATTAATATCATTGCCATTTTTCATCCAGTCTATGTGTTGATGTGTAGGCTGCCTCTCTCTGCTTCCTCTCTCCCTCTCTCTCTCTCTTGCCCTCTCTTTCCCTCACCCCCAACCGGCCGAGGAAGATGGCCACCCACTCTGAGCCATGGTTCTGCTCGAGGTTTCTGCCTGTTAAAAGGAAGTTTTTCCTTTCTTGGGTCGCCTAGTGCTTGCTCATGGTGGGAATTGTTGGGTTTCTGTAACTAACTTCAGAGTAGGGTCTGAGCTGCTCTGTTTGGAAAGCGCTGTGAGACAACTGTTGTTGTGATGTGGCGCTATAGAAATAAAATTGAATTAAATTGAATTGAATGAAGAAGCTGAGCAAAGCAAAGATTCGCGAGCAACGATTGCGTGAACTTCTCTACCGGCGCGGTTCGACTGGGGAATTTGTCGCATAATCAATGGCTTTATTTGTGTGATCTGGTCTAATTCGTTTACCTGATATTGGCGAGAGGTCCGGTGCTCTCGAAGTTGATCTTGGTCTCCGGCTCGTCGCTGGAGGACTTCCGGGTGTCGGAGTAGGACGACACGCTGTTGAAGCGGACCTTGTAGCTCCTGGTCAAAAGCAGAGAGTTACCTCTCAGAACATATATCTCAACCCAACTCAACTCAACTTTATTTATAAAGCGCCTTCAGTCAGCCAAAAAATCTAAAATCGAAGCGCTGTTCAGGCCATTTCAGCGAATCATAAAACACAATTATCACCTCCACACAAGACAAACTCAAAGATTAAAAACAGTAAGAGCAAAAAAACAAACAAAAAAACAAAACGAAGTAAGAGAGGGAAATTAAGACAACTAAAATAAAGTCGAAGTCTCACTCAAAGGCCTGAGAGTAAAAGTGGGTCTTTAAAAGGGTTTTAAAAGAGCTGAGTGACATCAGCGATTATCGAGGCGGGCGGCCTACTGGCCGGACCTACTTTCTGTCCTCCGTGTTGGACGTCGGGTGGCGCATCTCCATCAGGGCGGCTCCGAATTTCTGCGGCGACAAACGGGAAACGGTTAGTGGTCCACGGTGCCTTTTGACAAACGGGATTGCCGGATTCTGGAGACGCACCTCTCCGTTCTCCGGCGGATCCCCGTTCCCAAACGTGCTGGTCACCACCAAAACCAGCGTCTCGTGCTCCAGGTCCACCACGTCGTACTCGTCCATGGACATGACCTGAAGGCCGCAAAGGGGAGGAATCTTAGCTCCTCTTTACAGGACTGTCTCAGAAAATTTGAATATTGTGATAAAGTTCTTTATTTTCTGTAATGCAATTAATAAACATGAAATGTCATACATTCTGGATTCATTACAAATCAACTGAAATATCGCAAAGCCTTTTATTGTTTTAATATCGCTGATTATGGCTTACAGCTTAAGAAACCCAAATATCCCATCTCAAAATATTAGAATATCGGATTTTTGAGTTTTTTTCAGCTGTACGCCATAATCAGCTATATCAAAACAATAAAAGGTTTGCGATATTTCAGTTGATTTGTAATGAATCCAGAATGTATGACATTTCATGTTTTTTAATTGCATTACAGAAAATAAAGAACTTTATCACAATATTCTAATTTTCTGAGACAAGTCCTGTATCTTGCTCTCGCTTGCTCTTTATACACTTCGAATGACAAATGGCTGGAGCGTGTCAATTAAGGCCGAGCACGCGGCCGTTGGCAGAGGAGGAGGTTGTAATGACCACTCTGTCCTCGCCTCTAACGAGATGATAATACACTGCTGCCACACATCAAGCTGGCATGATGCGCACGTCTGCCACAGGCTGTACTCGCATTTCACACGCGCAGAGACACACAAGCAAAAGGCGTGAAGCGAAAACAGGCTTTGGCCCCGAAACAGTCTTGCCCCCAGGCGTTAACATCTGCACCCCCAACCCTCCCCACTACCCGACTCCCACACACACACGGTCGCACATTTGCATGCGCGAGTGTGTTCTTGTGGGATTGAACGCACAAGAAAAAAAGGAAACAAAAAAAAAAAAAAAAAAAGACGTGTAAGATGTGACCTGGAGGAAAAAAATGCACAGAGTGTGTGATTGAGAGAAGCATCCTTTTCCCCCTTTGTAAACAGATTTGCGCAGCCCGGGGGGGGGGTTCGGGAAGTAGTCTTTAACTACTGCACTGCTCAACGGTTCAGCAGTTAATCTCGCCTCCGACTTTCGTCACTTTACCGTGCGAGATACAAAAAAAAGAAAATCTGACAAAAGACTGTACTCAGCTGGCATCTGCGTGGCTTCGATTTTTTTTTCTTCTTCTTCCTCCTTTTTCAATGAGGCGCTGGTGAAATGACACGCTAAAACCGTTCGGAGAGGGTGATGCAAGGCGGGAGCAAGCGTACCTTCGCGTCAAAGGCGTGCTTGAAGATTTCACAGAGAGTTTTGGCGTAGTCGTGCGATTTGCCCGTCTCCGTGGCGAACAGTATGGTGGCTTTAACCCTCTTGGCCATGGCCTGGCCCATGAGCTTTGCGGAGAATTTCACCGCCCTGCGGAGACGACGAGAGAGAGAAACCTTGGTGAACGAAACGCGCAGAAGACGACACGGGCCAAACGTCGGAATCATCCGAGGGAAAAGTAATAAGAGGGGACAGCTTTCAGTCCTTTTTGTCTCCTGCCATGGCCCACAGAACTTCCTCCTGCCAAAACGCGTGCTACAGCACTTGTTATTGAGCTGCTGTTAGCAGGCGACCACGGATGGATGACGATGCTGATTACTTAGCTTATAATATCCTTGAGGCAATTATATTATTAGCAGATCATGCACGCGCCCAAGTACATGGATGCACAGAGGAAAAACAGATAAAATCCTGATTACTCCCAGAGGGGCTGATTGGATGAATTTCACCGCTGAGCACACTGGAATCATCTTAGGTGGATAACTTTAGTTGTGAAAGTTTTTGCTTCTTTTCTGGTTTCGATAGCTCATTCACCATTACAGACACTTAGGGTAACAATACAGTTTTGACAATAAATGCTCAAAGATCACAAGAGGGAAGAATAAAACGAAAAACAAGAAGATTTACTTAGCAAGCTTCTTGAATCCTATCGCTCTTTTCTTCGTGGGTGTCCCGTTGACTCCTTTCCACACATGCGTGTTCCAAGGATCAGGCTTTTGCATTTGGGAAAAGCAAAAAGGTTGAGTTTTTAGTCATGAATATCGCATACGTGGAGATGCAATATGTTCCACAAAAGTCTGATTGATCTGCATGTCATAGAGCAGTCAACCAGACCCTCTCTTTCCTCTCACCTGGTACTCGAAGGAAGGGGTGAGGCGGTAGTTGAGCATTTCCTGGTGAAATACTGGCGTGATACTTCCTGACATCGGAGGCACAATCCACACCCAGTCCCCGGGACAGCCTCCTCTCACCCGAAACTCGTTTTCCATGTGCTTCATGAAGGATTCCGTGGCAGAGTGATGGTCGACTATGGTCACTTTGCAAGTCTAGAACACAAAGCAGAAATCAATTGAGTCTCATCATACAACCAAATATAAAACAGTTAGAAATGAATGATGACATCCATCTAAAGGGTAGACCCTGTAAAAAGGTTATCGTGTGGTTATCTTATACCATTATTAATCACGCAAACCCTAAAGAGCAAAGCAAAAGCAACATGGTTATTTCAAGACTGGACTCGCTAAATTTGATGGTGATCGATTTAAACCCAAGATTGAAGACATGTACTGAGGTCTGATACTATCCTATTAAGGAATACATGCGGAAAACATATCTGTGCTCAAACTTAATCAATGAGAAGTTCTATCTTAACTAATCAAATAACCTTTGGATGAAAAACGAAGAACTGTCAAGCTGCAATCCAATGTCTAACTTTGGTATTATGGCTTTTTTATGCAATATATCTCAACTCCTAAGCAGAGAATTCAAACTCCGGTCTTTGAGGTTTTAGGTGTATCCCTGCTTTAACAGATCTGGCTCAATTCATTGCACCTTTGGCAGACTTGTAAAGAACCCAATCTTTTGAAGAGATCTATTTAATCTAAGTCAGGCGTGTTGAAGTAGGGAAAAATCTAAAAGCTGCTGGACTGTGGCCCTCGAGGACCGGAGTTTTAGATCCCTGCTGTAAAGAGGACCTGACAATTCTTTATGGCTTCATTCAGTACATACAGTTGTATTAAATACCTTACGGTGTGTAGTCTGCTACTGCATGTTGTTAAAAATGTCCAAGGAGAAAAGCCCTTATAAGATTTACGAACACTAGTATCGTCCTGATGTTAAAAACTCTGACCTTTGTCTCAAATGGCCACATTAGCATTCCAATTGTCCATTCCAAATGTCATCATTTTAATTGGCCTGTGTTTTGGCTATGCATATCTCTACTAAGCCTAAAAAGTTATGTTAGTTTTACCACCAAGAGCCCTATTGACTGCAACCATGTTGAATCAAGTATGACTAAAACAACTGTGGTCTCAAAGGGTAGTCTATAAAACCTCAGAACTTCGACATCCTTAATGTAAAATTAAAAAACAGATTTAATGATTATACCTGGAAGCTGTGGAGAACAGCAATGTTGATTTCCACAAGTGCTTGATCTTTCCAAAGGGAAGAAGTCTTCCTGGTGTCCAGGCCCATCTTATTAGCAACATCCTACATAGAAAATAAAAAACAGGGACACAAAATCCTTTCACACATTGTTGGCTGCATTTCTTAAAGTTTTTTTTCCCCCTACTTTCACTTGGAAAAGATTCCCCCCCTCGTCAGAATTGGATCACTGATTTGAATTGAAATTTTTGGATGGGGAATCCTCTCTCCCACTTGTCTCAATACGTTATGACTCATACAGAAATAGCTCTGGTCTATGTATGGCACCACACAATTTTGCTATATGCTGTGTGACCACCTTGGTGATTAGAGGCTTTTTCTAAAATCCAAAAAAGGATTTGCCTCAAAGCTGAGAAGGGTTTCATTCCCTGACGAATGTTGTAAATCAGCCAACGCCGATTGGCGCGGTTACAGGACGAACTGGATTTCGATTGGATGGTCGGGTGACACAACACATGCTCCTTTCAACACAAGGCTGCCGTCAATCTGTGCCTCCCGATTCTTTCCCCTCCTTTCTAGCGGAACACGACGCTACGCATTGGCGCGACGCGCTACCTCCAGAATGTTGTAGCGTGAGCTGTCGCAGAAGTCCCTCACGCCGATCTCGGTCCCCATGTACCAGCCACTGAAGGGGCATCCGGTGAACTCCAGACCTCCAATCTCCAGCAACATGTTAGAAACCGCCGGGAGGCCGTACCACTTCAGCTCCAACTCTTTGAACCACTCGAATCTGAACAGAGGAAACAATAGTACAATGATGGAGAGCTGTAGCTATGTTCGTTTCAACTCATGTTCCCCATTGAGGTCTGGAAATTACCCAGTGTCGCATTAGCAATGTGCTCAGTCACGAGTATCCTTAGGAAAGCATGTAATTACCTCAGAGACACATAATGTTAAAAAGGAGTGCAGCCAAAACTAGCATTAGCGCAAAGACATCTGTGTTTAAAGGCTTTTGAGTGCTGAGCAGAGCATGCTGTTTCTCTCGCAACCTTCAGGGAGATTGATAGCGTTGCTTTCATTGTACATTGTTTGTGGAACTGGGTTCTAATCTTCTGCAGTGATGAGGCACTGTTGGTGGCCACAGCCTGTGCCAAGCTCCTGCCAGAGCGGAGGGCCGGCTGATGCACGGCACGGAGCACGATGTGCCAATTTTGGAAGAGTCTGGCAGGGAGATCTCTGCGTCGAGGGATCCTGTAATGCTTTACGTAGCATGTAGCGCTGCACTGATAGCTTAGTGTGCATCTGTGTGTGTGCAAATACTGATCTTAGTAAAACCCCCATTCATTCCTCAGATTATTATTGCTCTGGGGATACTGCATCTTAATAGTTAGGATGTTAGGAGCTTTATGGCTTTTGCTCCCTGGCTCCCCGTTGTAAAGTAAATTAATACAGTTTTTTTGAGAATAAAGGAAACACAGGAGGAAATAAGAACAATAGGCTTGAAAAGTCACCAACAAGCCCCTTGGATACCATAAAATCTGGCATAGCAACAGATATGAAATGGCTAATGGCTAGTGATAACCCAATCCGACTTCCTGGTATTAAAGTTACAATTTTTTTGTCAATTTCGCTCAAAGTTAAGGAACTGAGTGGGTTTCTTTTCTTTATCTGCAGGCTCCCCAGGTCTCGTTTGGCAGCACCCAGACATTTTGGCTGAAAGGCGTTACTCACTTCGGGTGTGTGATGGGCACCTCCAGAATGAGGTCCTCGGGAATCTCAAACAACTCGGGGTCATTTCCGTTGGCCTGCAGCAATAGTGGGAGGACATCAAAACGACCCTTCGGCGCTTTCCAACCGAGCTGCACGCAGATCTGGAGGCACAAAACCTGCACGTGAGCTCAGCACAGAAATGGCTAAAAAAAAGATTTCAAAAAGGAGAGAAAAAATGCCTCATCTTAAACTAAAATCATGTGAAATAAAACATAATCTTGTGTGCACCTCTGTGAATTCAACATTAGCAGGGTCTCCATGGATCTGTCCATCAGGCTGTTTGTAGCCTGCGTATCGGATGAGCTGACTGTTCCACACTCGAAAGTCATGTTTACCATCTGTCCTTTGAGGAAATATGGTGATAGCCGACCTGAGCAAGAAAGCAAGAAAAGAAAAAGAAGGTTTTCATTGAATATATTTGAGATAACTTAGAGATGTGTATATATCTCCAATTACATCATAGATAGATAGATAGATAGATAGATAGATAGATAGATAGATAGATAGATAGATAGATAGATAGATAGATAGATAATCCATTGACATCTTTACCAGCCAACCATTACAATATGAAGGGTTCATCTCTTTTTTTTGTTACTACTGTATGACGATCAGTTTATAATCATTAGCATACCGTGACTGACTGATCATGTCCTATATTTTAAACTTATAAGCTTAAGACCAAAAAGGTTATAAGAAAGTGATGACGTGAGATTTTTTTTCCCACATTGCTTCTGTGACCAGGCCTGTGACCCCCACCTATTCTCCTCTCACCCCCTTCTACCCCACCAATTTACCCAATGCTACGTTCAATATTTTCTGGTCTGTCGTTGGACATTCAATATTTTATTTTATTATTTATCATTATTATTATTATTATTTATTTTATTCTATATTCTTATATTTTTATTTCTACATTGTATGTCCTTTCTTGTTTCTTGGTTCTCATAGAAGTGTTGTGCACCAAACACCAAAGAAAATTCCTTGTAGGTGAAAAACTTACTTGGTAATAAACCTAATTCTGATTCTGAAAGGGACTTTCATACTTTAAATTCCATCTAAATAACATGATATTTTTCCGTCTTTAGATGCCTGTTTAAGTCAGACAGACTCGTAGCCTCCGTTGCTACTGTGTCTCCTTCACAGGACCAGGATGAGCTCAATAAGTCCGAATCTACACTTCTTCCAAGGACCAAACGTGAGATGTCACCCGTTATTAGGACTGGGAGGAAAGCGTGTGAGTCCTGTGCAGGTCTGACAAATGATTGCTTGTTAGCAAAGGTCTGTCGCCTCCCCAGCAGAGCAGTGATTGGAGCTGAGACACTGACAGTCATCGACACGGGCACCAGACGGTGTCGGATAAAGTGTTAACAGACAGATCGGACAAGTGGGTCAAGTCTGGGTAGTCAGAGATGGAAGCGCCCAATGCGATATATAGATCGATTGATGGAAAGAAGGAAGAGCGTAGGGGAGGGATGTAAGCAAAAACCGTAGAAAATGTGGATGTAAACGATGGAAAGTAGTGTTTTTCTACCTCAGGTTGCCTTTGTTTGTGGCGTACTTGATGTGGTTGCAGATATAATTATACATTCCATGGGCGGTGGTGCAGTCTCTGGCATCAAAAACCTAACAAGCAAATATAAAAACAAGAGATTAGAACGAGGATTTTTCATAGCATATCATTTAGTTTTTGCTGCAAGCTTTTTCTTGTATTGCTTGTTACTTTAGCCTCCAATTATAAATTAAAAACAACTCTGAATCATTTTACAATGTTTAACTTGGCAAAATAAATATCTCAAACTGCTTGAAAAGGCGGTGCAAATCACTTGAAAACCGCTCAAACATCACTCAGAGTTTTACCAAAGGAAGCAGTCAGTTGAGGCTTATTAGATACAACCTGTAGTTTGGACCACTGAATCCTCCCGACACATCGGGCAGCGTTCCTCCAGGCATGCTTAGCTCCATATATCAGTTCAGTGTCTTTTAGCTGATACGTTCCCGAAGCTTCAATCTCCTTGGTAACCTCCTCGAGTCTGTCCACGTGAGCCTTAGAGCCATATCTGTAACGTCCACATGCACACTTTAATTACTGTCAAAGCAATATTGGATAAAATGTATAAGCATTTGAAAGGAGATATTAATATTTGTGGGCATTTGGGACAGGTACACAGCAAACGTGTAAAGAAAGAACTCTATCCCTAAAAAAATTAAAATTAAAATAAGGCCTGACTTCTAATATAACCAGACACCAACATTCAGGCGTGTTTCACACTCTCCCCAAACACAGCTGCTGTCAAACAACAAGATCCACGATTTAACCCACGCAGTCCTGTGGTTTTGAACTCAGAATGGCATTGAAAACAAAGCGTTGTATTTGAATGGGCTCACAGTCGCTATATAACATAGTGTTTGTAACTTCTTGGTGGGGTTTAGGGCAGGGCATTGTGAAATGATAAATATATATTTGCAACACCACAGTCACATTAAAAGTTTGCATTTTTATGGTCCTCGTAATTACACTGAATCAATCAAATGTTTCTGCATGTTCAGATCCAATACAAATCATATGTCAGATTCACCATTCTGTTGCTTTTCATTTGACATAAGTTTCAATGGTTATTCAGTGCATGAACAAAAATAGAATGACAATTACAGTCAATGCACGTCATATGAGGTAAAATCGTATCAACAAAGACAAACAAAAATCTCATAAGAAACCATTGGTAAAGCTTCCTGATGCTAAAGAAAATAGCCAGACCTGGCTATGGTAAAGCCACTTTCTTTCTTTTCTATTTACTTAGCCACAATAAAACTGTTTAGATTTATAATTTTTAAGTGTTGTACGGACATATTGCTAATTAAATCGAGGTGTTTGGCCCATTTAACCCATGCACCACTTTTTTTTTTTCCATGTAGTCTCATGAGTTTTGGAGAGGCAGGCATTTAGCTTTTAGCCTTAAACTCTAATTGCATTTCATAGTGAAATAACAGTGGTCACTCTTGCTTTTATCATTCATCACATTTATCATTTTATATCATTATTATCTTAATTATAGGAAGAAGATGAGTAACTCATGTCAACCCTAGCAGTATCCAACAAACACAAGTACTGCAACGTGAACTAAATGAATTCACCTTAATTTACACTTTAAACTTTCCACACCAGGCCCGTCTTTAGAGTTCGAGAAAAGCAAACAGTATTAGAAAAACCTTTTGATCGTGAAGACGTAATTATCTGACACAGTGGTTCTTTGATCTGTTCGGTAGGACGTGTTTTATTTTTCCTCACAGTGCAGTTACAGCCATATTGTGAGTTTGTCAAAGGCGGTAATTATCAGAGTCCTCTATACCTGGCTTGCATCACATATTTAAACCTGCACTTTTTGGGAAAAAAGATCTGAATATTACATTTTAATTATTTTTTTTAATGTTTAGTGTCCGATTCTAGCTTGACATTTGCTCAAGCTTTCCATCTTATTTGTTAGCTTTGTTCATGTTTCCCGCCATGGTGGTTTTAACCCTTCACTCCCCGAGTACCAGAGGCTGCACTTGCCTTTTGATGGAGGTGTAGTACTGGTCAATGAAGTCAGTGGCCAGGGGAAGAAGCTCCTCTTTGGTTCTGACCTCGTCGGCTTTCCGGACATGCTGATTGGGCATCATCACGGAGCCGTTGCACACATTTTCACTGCAGATTGGCATCTGAAAAGCAAACGGATGACACATGAGGCAGGATTATGGGTGGATAAGATCAGTTCTTTTGTTTCTCTGTCATTTGTTTTCCTTCGAGAAAACCAACAAGCCGTTTTACACGAGCCCGTGATACGTAGCCCAGTTTTCTGGTTATTATTTTGTAAATATTGACTAAATTTGCATTTTACTGGGTAATACGAACACAAGACTCATTCATTTTCAGCATGAGCCAAACAAAAAGCTAGAATTGATCAAAACGTGTAGTATTTACTCTTAGTAGAAAGACATATGTACAAAAAAAATTAATATAACATTAAAATGAATGTTTTAAAAACAAGTTTAATAAAATTCCATTTTTTTTCAGTAATGGTGTGATCCTTTGTCAGTTGTTTGGAGTCTAAAGTTTGGAGTCTCTCTCCCAGTCCCCTTCTAGTACATAACACAGTTCTACTGCTCAAGTTCTTCACACAGATATTGTTTAAACTTTTATTAATCATCACGTTGACATCCCATATCTCCATAGTCACAAACAATGTAGAAGTTCAATTTTCTGCTGATATATTCCATGTAATCTAGTAGAAATCAGCACTTCATGCTTGAAATTTCTTCATCCTGCACCTGATAGTGTTTGAATACATCATATCCAAAATATTCTGTTCTAATTTTTTCCATGTTAGTGTGTCCACTCTTCGATGGCAGAGATAAATTCATTGGGGGAAAAAACTGAAGTTATTCTTGTATGATTTTCAAACGTTAAACCTGATTCTGTATTTTTACAAACGTTTTATTATTTTCTTAATTTCTATTTAAAGCGCAGCAGTCGTGGAGTGTGGTGATTTTTATAAAACTTCATATCCCACTATTTATTGTCCTGCTTTAAAAAAAAAAAGATCAAACTTCAACTTCAACAAACTAAGCCCTCCAAATTATAGTATCTTGTTTAATGTGGATCTAGCAAGCCATGTTTTACAAGTACTCAGCTCTTAATAGATTCAAGGATTATGAGTGTCATTATTTCTGCACGTGGCTGGCTTTCTTGTTAATGAATGAGATGTTAGTGAGTCATAGATTGATATTTTTCAATAAACATTGTCGGGAAGATGGGAGGAGGAAGAGCGAACAGGAAATTCAAAAAAAAAAAAGAAGAAAAACAGATGCAAAGAGAAAATTGCTCATGGCACAGAGTAACTTTGTGTGGTCAGTTTAATCTGATTAAAGCTGACACCAGCTGTCGCTTTGGGTCGCCGTCACCAGCTCAGAGACAGAACAAATGAGTGAGCAGGAACATATGACAAAAACCACGGCAAAGTGTCAAAGAGGGAAATTTAACAGTGACCCCGGCAGTTTCTAAAATTGGCTCTTTACACTGAGCAGAAGTCATTGGTCTACAAGCAAAAATTGCCCTGTTTCTTACTCCAGCAAATATCCCCAATAGGATATATCATCCCAAATAGAAAATATCTAGAACAGAATCAAATCTGAACAAAATCAAAAGGAATAATGCATAAAAATAGTAGAATTTATACTATAATGCCAAATGTATCATATTTGATTCATACGGTTTCTGAAATGTTTTGCGTCTGACACCTTTTGCATAATTTAATGGTGAAAACTTTGCTCAAAATCCTATTGTACACCATCAGATACACCTGATAACAGGGGGCAGAAGACCACACGAAAAATCATCTTGACTTATCGCATAGTCATAAATTATTAATATAAAAAATGTATTTCTGTTTTTTCTTTTTACGTATTTTGTCAAAAGGCCAAATAAAGACTGCAAACAAAAAAAAAGTAATTTTCTGTTTTTTTTATTATTCTTGGATCAGGCTTTAAAAAGGGTTTAAAGCCAAATACATAAAGATGACTTTGAAGGAGAAAAAAAAAAGAAAAGAAACAACAGAGATGAGACCAATGATTGAGTATGAGGGGGAAACGGATGAGTAGCGTTAAAAATAAAACAAAAGGAATCACTCGTGCTCCAGTACGTCCGTTCGTCACACAGCTCTGGGCATTCATGCCAACCAGCTGTCCTTTTGGGGGGGTGTGGGGGGGGCAGATGGATCATCTGTGATATATAATAAATCTGAAGATGCTATTCCGGGCCGTTTAATGGGATGCACTCGACAGCCTGTTTGGTAAGTCACCGAGGCAATTATGTCGGCGTCCGCCGTTTACAAATGGCCGCCGCGTTCGGAGGGTGAACGCTCAAAAAGGGAGATTCACCTTGGAATCTTGGTACTTTGGCTGCATGATAAAAATGTTGATGAACGAGCAGGAGACGGGAAATCTTTGCAAATAGGGGAGACTTTTTGGAGTCCAACGCTCAAAGTTTGTGGACCCAAATCTGTTGCATCACTGAAAAGGAGAAATGATCTACCTCTCCAAGTTGAATTGATTTTGTTGAGACTTTTTGAATTGCAAGAGCCATTTTCAGTCGTTTTCTTTTTTAAACTAATGTTCATTAGTATGCATCCTTTGTGTTTTAAGTACAGAAGCAGTCAAGCTTGCGAGAGTCAAGAAATTGTCCAGTGGGATGGACACATGGTGGCCAGCAGTCCAGTCGGGGATGGTCATCGTGCTCATTATGCTTTGAAAGAAGAATGCAAAGATGCAAATCTAAAAAAGAGAGCTCTGCATCTCCTCAAAAACAAGTCAGCTCCATTTAATAGAATTGCAGAATAATTCCCTTTCCTGTTTGTCTCTCCACAAAAACCCTCTTAAGTTACTGCAAACCTCTCTTTCTTTAATGGAAACCATTCTGCTTTTTGCATTTGGCCTCGTTTCCTTTCTGTGAAGTGGTTTGGAGATCAGACTACCCGTTCATAGCTCTCTTTGGAGTGCTTAATGGAGTTTTGTGTTGTTTTTTTAGTTCAATGTGTTCTTTATCTTATGAATCAGTTGTTTTTTTTACCCTCCTTTGAGCAAAATCAATCCATTTCCATTGAGTGATATGCAATGTCCCCAAAGAAATGATCAAATGAAATGAGACCATAGGGTGCTTTAAAGAACACATAAAAGAGGAAAAAAAGAGTCAATTTATATAAGGCCAATTCCTTCTCCATTCATTTTCTGGGTGGTTTACACTGTAAAAGAGAGGAAGTGTTTGACTGGCCCCTGCTTTAATAATTCTTTCCAAATACCCATGCAAAGGGTTACATATTTACTCAAATGGATGTGTGGTTTATCCTTTAAATAAAAAAATGAAAAAATGTTTATATTGGCCTTTTGAGAGGTGACTGTTGGTTGAAACTGCATTCCAGATCTCCACTACTCATAAAAAAGGTTCAGTTTGGTTGTATGACCTGAACTGATGGTGACATTTTCATGTTTATTACTCTGTGATAAGACGGTGAAGCAGTCCAATCAACAAACACAAGTTACTGAAGTTTAAGACCAAACTCTTCTTCATAAAAGTATGGATTTTACATCTGGTGTTTCAAGGATCACAATATGAGTATTTTAGAAGAAAAAAAAGCAGATTTATTGGAAAATTTGCACATTTAATTTCACATAAATACATTCAATGTGAAGATTCTGGATTTTGATCTATTTTTATTCAATCAACAGTTTAATGTCTGAAGTCACCAGAAGTATTTTGAACATGTTGACATGTCTTAATGCCAGTGTGTAGAGAGAATCTCATTTTTATGACAACTGACAATGAGACCATAATAAACTCCACAAAGATCACTTCACTGCTCAGACTTCAGTGAAACGGCATTAAAATGTAAAAACGGAACAATTTCATTAATCTAATCTGCTGAAACAGAAAAATCTTTCAGCTTTCTAGTAGTCCAATTTCAGGCAGATTGTTAGCAAGTTTTCCCCATGTGGGTTCATCCTGATTTTTGGCCATTATCTCATTGTTGCAATAATAGTATTTGATTAAAACGATCTCAACTTAAGCTGTGTATTGATATATTTTTTTGGTAAAAACTGTTATCAGCTGCAGACGGGTTAAGAGTAATGGGTTTATCAATTTTATTCAGCTACCCATGTTATGGAATCATGAAATAAATGACACAAAAACACTCTAATTTAGCCGTGCTTTTCTTTTTTTTCTCTTTTTTCCATAATAACTGTGTCGTAGCATGAGCATGTGAGCTGCCTCGCAGCGTGTCGGGGATATGTGGGTTTATTCTGAGCTTCACCTGGATTTACCTAACCCCCCGCTTTCTGGCTAATTAGCACCACGGTGAATCACCAACAGTTCAGGCAGGAGCTCTCTAATGCACGAATGGTAAGTGAGAAGCCGAAAAAATGGCACGCCATGCTGCGCTATTATACTTCAGCCTACTTGACTTGCAAATTATGTGTTAGTAAGTCTGCCCACTTAATGTTTGTTCAGTCAACCAAGACAATGTACTGTATTTTAATATGCCTTTAGGCTAGGGTTACAAAAAAAAAAAAAAAAAAATCAAATTAAAAGGAGCTTGAGAGAGACAGATCGCTATCGTTTTTGGCCGATCCAAAACTTATCTTTCATATCTTTTGAAACAACTTAAATAATAATAAATAATAATAAACAGAACCTTGCCAATTTTGCATTTTTCTCATATTAGCCTGTTATTATTGTTACGCATTGATTCTGTGTCAGAAATGGGGTGGCAACTTCTTTTAATGTTCCAATTTGTATTACGTGTGAACATTTTATTTTGTTAAAACTTTTTTTTTTTTTATCATGAGTACCCTCCAGACTCTGCGTTGTGCTGTATGTTTGCTTTCAGACATAATAGTGACAGATAAATGTTGATCCAAGTACAGCGATTTGTGTCTGATGCACTATTGGTATTGAATTCATTCTGGATTCATTACGTCACAAAAACAAAAGAGCTCTTTATATAATTTCGGGCCGTTGGATATGTATTGTTTTTCCCAAAGGACACAGACCTGTGTGTAATTTTATTTAATGACGAGAACAATGGAGGTCATTTTGGGACATTACTTTACAATCCAATCTAATAGTCCTGTAATCGATCTCTTTTGTTTCAATGTTCCATCCTATTTCTCTTTTTGTCTTTCTGTTTTTCCTTTCAGAGATTGCGTGTGTTTAGGTGAATATATTTCAATGAATGATTCCTCAATATTATCAAAGGCACACATACAAAACCAACAATACCCCTTTAAAACAAATTATCATAAAAATAAAGTAAACCCACTCAGGTGCTTCATATATGATGAGTGATGGGACCATCACTGCTATCTTTTCCCTAACATGCCACTTTCAGTTTTTTTTGCACAGCAACATTTGGCTATTTTTCTGATTCCAGTGAAAGTGGTGAATAAAGTGTGGAAAAGTGTGAGACATGCCTCCAATTTTGTCACAATTTGCATTAACCCCTTTAACATCTACACTCAGAAAAAAAGGAAGGGAAAATATTTTTTAGAATTTTTTTTCACTTCTTTCTTTTTCACATATGGTCAAAGTTGGAAACTTTCCTAAAAGAGTTAAATTTAAAAAAAAGAAATGTAATAACTTATTTTCAATTTAAGCATCACATACCTAAACTTAATTTTAGAGCTAGTTTAGCTAAGTGGACTTCCTCTAGCGTATCCTATGACGCTATTATATATGTATTAATCAACTCTTACAATTGGTTAAGCAGAATGTTAAAGGGTTGATGGGATTTTAGTTTCTCAGACTTGTGCATTTTTATTAGGCATCAAAATGAAGGTTGCTTTGCAACCTTTATTCCACTTCAATACGTTCTGTCCAGAACAGCTATTATAAATGGTTTGAATTCTAATTTTTCAAAATCTTCTCTGAGCTCACCACGACGGTTGCCACAGTGACAGCGCGATGGCTGCCGCTAGCTTTACCTGGCGACTTGTTTTGAGCTCGTTTTGTTGCCTTACCTTGCTGGAACTGTGGTGGAGCACGTCGCTGTAGACCGTGCCGGTCTCCCAGTTCTTTATCTTGATGAAGCGGGGGCATTTGGTGGGGCTGCCGTTCTGCATGGACCTAACGGGCGAGGTCCTGCCCTGGGCCGGGGGCTGCAAACCACACACACACACACACATTAACAAACGCTGTTCCAGTTAATAGTTTGTGACTTTTGTGACATTTCTGGTGCAGGCAACATGAGCCGTTTTTGACTAGAAAAAGCAGAAAAAGTGATGCAAACCTCCCACTGCAAGGAAATGGATTCAATTACAATAAGTGGACATTGACAAGAGAGTTCAAGATAAAAACAACCTGCATTATTTGGAGGCTTTCAAGGGGAATTCAGCTTAAAATTGTACTTTTTCTCCGGGAGGAAATGGGTTTTGTCATTTAACTTAAGTTTCCCACACGGACCTATAAAATCAGAATCCGTGACAAAAACCCATCTGCATTCTCTCCCTCGTTCGATTCCGTTTTGTTTTTCCGATCCAGGAATAAAAAAGCGCCCAGTGTGCAAACCAACCCTCGGCTCTTTGAGTTGCTTTGGTGAGTAGCTATTGACGGATGAATGGCTGCAATTCAACCCCAAAGTCGACCGTAAACGCTCTGGAAGAAAAGTGGCTGATGATTGCCACCGATCGGGGTAATCGATGGCACACCTCGAAACCCTCCTCCATCATCTCTTAACGGCATTGTTAATTACACAGAGGAGAGGCCTCCGAACAACGGGGAGACAATCACGTTTGCCGGGGGAGATGAGTATCGCTGCAATTTCACGTCTTCCCAACAGCAGGAAGGATTCAGGAGGTTTGGAACCAAGTTGGAGTTTTTTATAACCCAGCCCGAAATACACGAAATAAAAGCCTCTGTTCCCATGTTCCCCGTTCCAGCGGCGCTAATCCCCACCGCGCAGCTCAGAAGTGACACATGATTATCACAGAGGTTGTGGACAAGATCATTGTACCGTAAAAAAAAATATATAATAACTCACTCAAACCGACTCAGACGAGAAGAAATGAGAATTTCTGACATACGTGAAAATGGAAGTTCTGCCGACGCCTGACTGGAGGACGGCTTTGGCATTTACGTTCCAGGAAGTGACTTTTTGCTCTTTCTTTTATTTGAATCCACAACTTTTGAATGTCAGTGTTTTAAAAAAATATATATTTACATCTAAGAAATTCTTGCATTTCTTAAATGTCAGAATGACAGAAAAAAGAAAAGAAGAACAAACACAAAGTTATAATAAGAAAAACATCATTTGGAAAGAACGAAATGGAGAATCTCAAGATATCCAAGATATTTTTTTACTTTTTCTCAGGAGACGGTGAGGAAAATGACATATTTTGACTTTGGTTTGAATGAGCACCAAAGGCAAAGATCCTTTTACAAAGCAGCTACATTCAAATTGTCATGAATGGTGTTTAATGTCAGATTTTTGATGGGTCTTACAAATTTCCACAAAAAGACATGGAAACTGTATATGTCATAAACCCATATCAATCAGCCAATCGTTTCATATCTCGATCTTACCTAGACTTTTAAAAAAAAAGACTTGGTTTCACACATCATTGTTTCAGATAGTTCTCTGTAGCTCGTATAATAAGGATCAAATTTCCTTCAAAGACTTACTGTGAGAATTTGAGGGAATCAGGACATATTTATTCAACATGTGCATATATCTATGGGAACTCACAAAGGAAACTTTAAGGTGTGAATTCAGAAAAGTTGGGGAAACTTTTGTCTTGAAATTTTGCATCTCACACATAGGACATATATTTTAGAAGACCATCTCATCACTGGGGGATGTCAAATAAGATTTTAGATTTGTTGTAAAAACTATATTGTAGATTTTCCTGTACTTTCTTAGCAACACCTATCTACAGCATCCGACTGTTTGTTCCCGTTTTTATGCTCTCTGAAAGGCTTCTTTTTTAACTAACACTGTTTAAATAATGTTGTCTTTTTTAGCAATTCGCATCTAAATAAAAAGATCTCCATGACAAGAATAAGGCTCCAATCTAAAGAAGACAGGATCCGTGGTGCAGCATGAAGATAATAGAAGTTAATATAATAAAGGTCATTACATTGGGAGGGGAATTATTCCCAAAGTCTTTCTGGTAAATGCGGTTACGCTGTGAAAGTTCCTCATCCACCCATCAATTAAAACTTCTAATGGGAAATAGAGATAATGAGCGTCAGAAAGGGCTTGGCTGATAAAATGTGATTGAAGGAAAGTAGAACTACTACATTCTGCAGATTACTGGCTTACCAAAATGTTTTCAGTTTGTAAATTGTGATGGAATAATTTTGAGGTACTGAAAGCAATATTATCTCTATGCTTGGGGGCCTTTTCTGAGGAAGTGTGTGAAGTGAATGCACATATATATATATATATATATATATATATATATATATATATATATATA